CCCCCCCATCTGTGGTCCAGGTTTGGTGGTCTAGAAACTCCTGCATACTTTCAGTGAAACTAAATTAAACGCAAAAACTCAATGTTGATGGAGATGCTGACAAAGTCAATGGACCATGAAAGGTGGGCCACATCCAGCATTTGATGCATGGTTTGAGATGTACTACCTAAGATGCATCTGTGGTCCAGGTTTGGTTGGTTCCATTTCAGTTAAGTAATTTTTTGCATTGACAAAGCAAGATATTCAGTAATTTTGAAGTCAGTCCCTAAACATTAAGAAGATTTAACCGTACAGGCTAACAGCATGGTAGAGCTCTTTTAACATATGTGACTATATGGCTGAATGCTTCCTTACACGTGTGATTTGTATTCGAGAGTTATTTCCTGAAGTGTTCCTCAATAGCATTAGAACTCGTGATCCTACCTATCTAAATGTTGATAGTACATAGTCTTGCTAAGCTGTCAAGTTCAACTATATGCCGTGCAACGGCAAATTGTCAACCAGAGCTGTTAAGAGGGCTGTGTTGCTTCTTCGCGAAAAAAAGCTTAATCTCAGGGGATTTTCCTCAACCTCAGTAATACTTACTTATGGAAAGTCTTAAGATGAGGAATTTTCTTAACGACAGGGAATCTTCATGTTACTATAGCATCGGATTCTTTTAACTAGGCAACTAAGACCAAATTACTATTCATTTTACATACTGTGCATATTATCTGATGTGGAAATTGTTTGAAAAAGATATTAAGATAGCATTATATCAATAAGGGATAAATGTTTTAGCAGACTGACCGTGGTTGTAGAGGATGGTCTGGTTGACAGGGTGAGGTTCGTCTTCTTCTCCATCCAAGTGACACGTCCTATCAAACAAAACATCATTAACAAATAGTACTGGACAATAACATTTTATTACCACATCCAAATTTCCATTGTACTGCATTTAAATATGTAAAGTGGTTGGTTTTTATTGTGTTTTACGTCTTATAACACAGCTGCAGAACTGATCCTTAAATTTCACCTTTGTTTGCAAGGCAACACAAAAAAGTCAGGAGTGGAGGTTGAAGTGGGACGCTGAAGCCGGGGTGCATGACTACATTAGCCCCCCCCCCTTTAATTCTCCGACTAGTTAAGCTAAAAAGTCAGGAATGGCGGTTCTGAAGAGTTTTTAGTTAATTTTCCCAATTCAATGATCAGGTGGAAACTTTGTTGACAACATCAATGTACTTACTTTATAAGTGTGTCGAGGATGGTGCCTAGCTCAATGGTCTGCTCATCGCTGAGGCGGGCACTGGCATACAGCCTCATTTTGGGGAGTACTTTCTCTAGAATGTGATACACCTCCACAGATCTATCCGTGATACACACCTGGATTTAAAGCAATACTCGTCATCAATTATTCAATATCAACATCCAAAGTTTGAGTTTCTGTTCTGAGAAACAGGTTTCATTTACTTTTGTTCACTTAGTAATGTCTCTGTTAACTCATTCACCCCTGAAATTTCATAATGAACTATTCCAACCTTTGATTTGGAAGAGTTCAAATGTGTCTTCAGGGGTGAATGAGTTAATACTTTTTTGCAGTTGTTTCCCTTTCTCAAAAAACAAATCCAGTAAAATGTATAGAGTGATGGAATTATGAATTAAATCAATGAAACAATCGCACAATCAGCACAATAAATCTTGTTATAGAAAAAAGATTGACAAGATTGACAACGCAAATTTTCAAATAGCTTTTTTGGGCAAAGTACAGATGGAATTTTAAGAATATCTAACAAACTACACAAGTTAAACTCATGATGTACCAAGGGTAATGCTGAACAAGTGTTACCTGTGCCTGGACTGCCCTGGAGAAGAGGTCGGTATAGGCCGAGTAGTACCTGTCCAGTAGGTTCAAAGACTGTCTGATGATTTCATCATATTTGTAGTGGGTCAAGTCCTATAAAAAAAGAGAAAGATAATAAGAAGATGGCTTAGGATTAAAAAGAAAAAAAACACCCATCTAGAAAATATTCTTGATTGAACCATGTGCTGTAAAGGATGTCTGAGCAACGGGAGAGTAGAGAAAGTGTAGTAGAACTGGGCTGGGTCGATCAACCACAACTAGGTAGCTCAATCGGTAGAGCATCCTTCTAAGTGTTCGGAGGGTCTTGGGTTCGAAATCCAGTCTGGATGTGCATTTTTCTCTCTCCTGTTACAATTTTGTTGTTGTTATACCAACCTTCAGGACGTCCACCAGATTGTAGCCTTTCAGGAAAGATGTTGTATCAAAGATGTCAGCCAGCTTCTTCAACGCAACCTTGACCAATCTAAAACAGTTAAAATATCTTTTGAAAATTTGGATTCTATATTTCTATTTCGGCCCCCATTAACCATTGTAGCAACTGAGTTAATATACAGAGAGACAAAAGGTTGATTGTGATGAACATTTCATATATCATATTCGTGTTGCATAGAACTTTATGTAAGCTGAGTATGACGCGATAAATGTGAACTGGATCTACTGGCCGAAGGGTTCACAAGACATCTTATATACAACGCTTATAATTTGAATGTGGTAAAGTGTGACTGAAGACTCTTAAGCCTCGACCAAGGACCAACAAACTCTGAACTGGTGTGGAACTTAATGGTATCATACAATTGTGTATTTATAAACCGAATCTATTGAAGGTTTCATAAGATATCTTAAACACAAATGTGTGTTTTTACAATGGACGCAATAAACATTGACACATGAAGGAATGACAAAATAATTATTGCACACTACACTTCACCATTTAGTTAGCGTAATGAAAAGATAATATAGACTTGACCAAAACATCTAAACCTGGAAACTTGACAATTTTAACTTCATTCATCTTCACCAGATCTGAGAACTCTAGGCTTACCCCTGTTGTTTTGATATATCAAAATCTGAATTCAGCATGAGAGCCAATTCCACCTTGTGGCCAAAAAACCCAGAGGGTGCATTCATCTCTGTGTGGGTCGTTTTGAACGTGTTGATGAATTTCTGTGAAAAAACAGACAAATATATTTTTATCACATTATTTACTACTGTGTTATCCAGTGAATATACGCATGTTATATTATTTTTCGTATTAACCCATGTAATATGACCTATCAGCCCTGTGATTGGTTGTAAGTTTCAATTGTGATGTCACGCCTAGGAAAAGTACACGACGTCACAAACTGACGCACTGGAGTCAAAATGGCGGCTTTTTACATTTCAAGGTTGCATGAAAATTGTCGTTTTACACAAATAAATGCCACAAATCTTGATTATGTGATAAAAAAGATTTTACATTCGTTTTCATTCCATATGATATTTATGAAACTTGTCACAAATTTTTCATTTTAGATTGCTAGAAGCTCGCTAAATTGAAAAATTCTTAGAGTTGTTTCATAAATTTCATGTGAAATGGAAACTCATGTAAGATCCTGTATATATACATCACTATGAAATTCAAGAAGATTCTCAGATATTTTTTCTATAAACTTGCAACTGGGATTATGTTAATTTTGCTACATTTGATAAAGACTAATGGTATTTTTTCATCTATCAGAATTGATAATAATTTGAGGCTCTTATATTCCACTCATCACAACCTAGTTTGTAGGTCGTCTCAAAGCGGTTCACAAATTATTATCTGTGGTTATAGGGCCTTTGCAACCAGCCAATATCTTTCTCAACTCCCTGGGGAGCATACAGCCGGTGCTGCCATTTTGGCGCTCACAGCTAGTATTGAACAATTCTAGCACTGCCCAACCAGGTACTCATTTACAGCTGAGTAGACTGGAACAAGCTCAGTAAAGTATCTTACTCAAAGATACAATACAGTGCCGTGCTGTAATTTGAACCTGCAACCCTTCAGTCACGAGCCCCGCGTCCTACCACTAGACTACCTTGCCTCCTCTTGTTATGCCAGCATGTGCTGGTATATATCATAGTCCTCTGACTATGATATATACCATATATCATAGTCAGATATATATATAAGTGTGTAAGGACTTTATTTTGTATGCCACAACATTTCATACCAGCAGAACAAATAAGATAATCTTGTTCAATCCATAAGCTTACATCCTTACAAAAGGTTCAACAGGCCTGTATTGCTCACCTGCTACTGAATGGGGTTGGCAAACATATCTTAAAATCTGTGGTCTTCAAAGTGGGTCAAGGTCAAATTTATTTAACAAAACTTAATAGCAAAAAAGTTTCCACTGCTGGCCGAACAGCCGGAACATTGCTCTACACCTTATGGATGTTAGCTGGAAGACTTCAATACACACTCTATCTATACTACTCAGATCATGTGGGTCAACATCAGAGGTTTTAAAACAGACTTAATTGATGGTCTTTTTTTTTAGCAATCTACAGACCAAATTTTAATACTCTTGGCCTTTATAACTGGAAGTTATTATAATTATAATATTTGGAAGAAGTTACTTGAAGTTTACAATAAATTTGACAGCTGTTACCTAGAAAGCGGTCAATGTATTATAACAAAGTCGTCTGTGTGATTTTAAACAGGCTTTTATTTTTTGGAATTTGCCAGACGGATGTATTCTATTGCACTTACCTCAAGTCTCTGGTTCAGGATGAAATCAAAGAACAGGTCCAGCACTTCCAAGGCTCTGTAAAATTAACAATGAATTGTTATGACTTTCATAAACTTTTTTAATTTCAAAAAAATATATTCTTTAACTAAAATTAAGTGAAATATTTCAAAATGTGTTGTGTCTGGAACAAGGGAAACTTTACAAACAGTATTCCTTTTTAAATTTTCAAAATAAAGTTTTGCAATATATCCATCCTATCATCACTTAAGTGCCCTATCAAGCGATACATACTGGCATTTGGCATCTACGATGGCCTTGGTTTCCTGACCTCTCTCATAGCGCCCAACCTTCCGGAAATGCTTCACAATTTCCTCCCCATCTTTGCCTGTAAAGGTCAATAAATAAGATACAAATTTGCGATTCCCTATCTATATGATGAATCGGCCTTAGATTAAGACCACATGTTAACTTTCGGTTATATAACATTTTGCTTATGGAGAGCCATTTAAATAATTACATATCCTTTAACTCATTCACCCCTGAAAATTCATAATGAACTATTCAAACCTTTGAACTGGAGGAGTTCAAATGTGTCTTCAGGGGTGAATGAGTTATAACTACATATACAAACCACTTTGATCTGAATAGCCACATCAAAAAGGATTTCATTTCAATATTTTTCAAAGAAATGTAAAAGTACTGTTACCTGTATGACAGAATGTTTTAAAGTGCAAATGTTAACAATTTTTTTTTACTGCGCAGTTCAGTTCCTCTAAAACCTAACACAAACCTGAAATGTCTGGATAAGGTTTGTCATTCCGTCCATCCAGCAGGCTCATCAGCGGTTCCAGAAGCTTCTTGATGTCTTCAATCTTGTAGTAGAATCCAAAAGACACCAGGTAGTGTACCAGTCTCAACACCTTAAAGAGACAATGTAGTGAAGCCATTTATAATCTAGTTACAAAATTCTTCATGAAAATATAGTTTGATACTTCTTATGAACAATACACATGCCTAGAAATTGACAAGAAACAATGTTTTCTTGGCTTTCTTAATCAGTAATGAAGAAATCCTAAACTGTGCAACTGTACGTTTTCCGTGGTAACTGTTGGTGAAGTGTGTCTTTCCAGCTTTGGAGAATAGGTAAATTCTCGCTTCGTTCACCAAGCTTCTTCAGAATATAAGTACCGGCACTTATTCTGAATCAATAGCACCAACCATCCAAAGAACATCTCAAGCATCGTTATAAACGAGGAATTTATTTTAAGTTTAACCTATACTGATGTCTCACTTTGTACGGTTTGAAATTCTCCCTGCGTGCATACTGTACTTAAACCTGTTTCTTTTATTAAAATACAACTGTAAACAGAAATATCTCCTTAGAATGATAAATATATGATACTTATAATTCTTTTTTGTATTTTGTAAATTCAAAGTGACAAGCATGTGTTATTTGAGAAATCAGATTCACTGTTGGTCGACAATGTCATACTGAAATGTTTACTTCTCACTGAAAGGTCCCGATATTGCTGGAATGATTTTCATGAAAACTTTAAAATGGGACTTAAAACGTTAAACCTTCCCAGCAAGTTTACAGGAAATTAATATAATGCACAATCCATGATACTACAAACTGGAATATTTTCATGAAATCTTTAAAATGGGACTTGACTCTCCCCAGCAAGTTTACAGCAAATTGTTTCACTACCGATACATGATCGGTAATTTCAGAGTTAATTCTGTAACTGACCTGTTTGACCAGCATGTTGTTACCAATCTCCGATGCTGTCATGTCACTGTTTTTGCCAAGGAATTTGGAGATCCAGTCATTGAGGGTTGGGAAGAACTGGTAGGTGGTTGATCCAGTACGATCTACGACATCCTGTAAACACACACGATATACTGGGTGACAATTCCAATCAACGTATTCAAGACTCATGTTAACTCCCCCAGTCAACGTATTCAAGACTCTTGATAACACCCCCAGTCAACGTATTCAAGACACTTGTTAACACCCCCAGTCAACGTATTCAAGACTCTTGTTGAAAACTCCCCCAGTCAACGTATTCAAGACTCTTGTTAACACCTCCAGTCAACGTATTCAAGACTCTTGTTAACTCCCCAAGTCAACTTATTCAAGACTCTTGTTCACACCCCCAGTCAACGTATTCAAGACTCTTGTTAACACCCCCAGTCAATGTATTCAAGGCTCTTGTTAACACCCTCAGTCAATGTATTCAAGACTCTTGTTCACACCCCCAGTCAATGTATTCAAGACTCTTGTTAACTCCCCCAGTCAATGTATTCAAGACTCTTGTTAACACCCCAAGTCAATGTATTCAAGACTCTTGATAACACCCCCAGTCAATGTATTCAAGGCTCTTGTTAACTTCCCCAGTCAACATATTCAAGACTCTTGTTAACACCCCCAGTCAACATATCGATAAACAAGTTACCTAACCCTAGTCAACATATCTGACACTCTTGTTAACTCTGTCAGTAAACACAAATCTTTGTCATCTATCAAAAATTATGTTTACTCAAAACTCACCGAAAGTGTAACAATTATGTCCTCTAACTTTGTTGCAGGGGAAATATATCCAAGACAGTCTATGGTGAAATGATAGTAGTTGCCTATGATATCCACTTATCTATTAAAAACGTTGAGATCCATTTTATAACCAACACCTTAAAAGCAAAACATCAGTAGCAATGTTTCGAAAAAGCTCAGGATAGCACAAGTTTGTTTGCAGCTGATCATGAAGGGGAGATAACTTACCTCAAACTGGTCCACCTCTGCGTAGATATAGGAGAGCTTGACCTTGTCTGTGACAGCCTGGTTCTCACTGATATCCACAAACATAGCTGTGGAGTACACCATTAACTGTTAAGTCTTTGTGTTCTCGCCAAACCATCCATACAAGGATAGTGTTGTTAAGTTTAGTTTATAAAGATATATTCACCGACGTTACAATGAAATATAACTACAATCATAAAAATACACTAGTTGTCAATCATATAAATACACTAGTTGTCAATTATATATATACACTAATCGTCAATCATATAAATACACTAGTTGTCAATCATATAAATACACTAATCGTCAATCATGTAAATACACTAATTGTTTTCTGTATTTCAAGAGATCTAAATGGCCTGTATATCCAACTTGTTCTTTCACAGAGTTGGGAGTAGCACTTCTAGACAAGAAGTTATTTTGACATATTCAATTCACATATCTGTGACTTTGAACGCAAGGCCATTTGTTTGGACAAACATTTATATATATAGCTTCTCCCCACAGCAAGCTACAGACTTAATATCGTTATTTTCATGATTTTATTACGAGATTAATTCTGAGCTAAAGACGAGCTTTAGACGAAATCTAATCATTGTATACTGTATAAGCTCATAAAAAGAAACTCAGTGATTTTGTCACATTTGATATGAATGATCTTCAAAGTGTGTCAAGGTCATTTAACAGAATGCAACCAGTCAAACAGCATGACTTAAGGTCTCATAGTTCTGAAGAAGTTGTTTTCAGGAAATGTTTAAAGACAGACACATGGCCATATGCCTTCACTTAGCTCTGACAGGCACTCTGTACCACGTGAGATAATAACAACTTGACTATAACAACCATATCTATAAATATAAAAAAGGACTGTATATCTGTTATATTTTGCGGGGGTTTTAATTTCGCTATATTCGCACTTTGACTTATATCCGCAATTTCTAAAAACCAGCAAAATCAAAATTTGTAAGATTTACGTTCTGAGGTTTTAAAGCTTGGCTATTGACAGTGACTTACTTGTGATGAGCATGCAGTATCTGGCGCGCAGCTGGTCAGGGAGAACCTCGTCACTGAGGCAGGTGAAAGCTTCCTCCCACGTCAGGTAGTTTAGCTCCTGGGTTATCACCTTGGTGGAGAATTCATTTTGACCCTGAAAACACACGGCAACATATGAACAAAGGGGAGACATCTCTATATAGTTACAGGCGCTTGCTCGGAGATGTGATCAACGTGTTCAAGTTTATGAATGGGCTATACGATCCGAATTTGGTGGAGGGAATGTTGGATCTCGCCGCTCAAGGAAAAAACTTGTGGACACAGTAAAGAAATACTCAAACAACATTGTCATTTAAATATTAGAAAACAATATTTTACTCGAAGAGTACTTGTTATCTGGAATAGTCTCCCACAAGATGTTATTTCATCTCGTAACGTAATTGACTCTGAGAAAAACTTGGACGAATTCTGGAAAGACTTGATTTCAAGTACGATCATACAGCTTCTTAAGTATAGGCTTATTTTCTGTTTAACACATTGTTTTTTCAAAGTATATTGATGTGGATATAGAGGCAGCAATGCCTGCATCCACTAATATCCTATTAAATCCTATTATAGTATCACAGTGGTGTGATAAGTCTGTGGGAACTACCAAAAAATTGATAATTTAACACATCTTTAGTAAATCTGAAGTAAATACAGGAAGTGATGAGTAATAAAAACCATCAAGAAAGTATAGAACTTTCTGTCTGATACAAACCGTTTAACCCTTTCACCACTGTAGACCATAATGGACTCATCCAGATCAATGCATGGTAGAGTCTACTAAAGTTACATAGGGTTGAAAGGGTTAACAGGGAGGTTTGTTTGGTGTAGTATTTTACTCACATGACACAGCATGCCATAGAGTTCCAGCTGATGTTCCAGGAACAGATAGGACTCGTCTGCCCCAGCTCGCTGTAAAGGCACAAAACAAGTGATTATATTATATAAGTGAGGTGGTGCTTATTAAGATTTCAATGAACAAATCAATGCACAGTTCCCGATTCAGTGAAAAATAAAACCAGTTCTTCATATTTCCAATAACAAACAAATTCGACAGAAATCCAGTAAAATAGATAATTTGTATAATGGTAGCTACATGTACATTGTACTTGAAAAGACTACAATAAAGGGCTATAACTTCCATAAACAATTGTCTGAAAGCATTCAGTATCCAAATTGTCCAAGATATTGGTAATGTCAACAATTCTTGAAAGTTGCATCAAACACCAAAAACAAAATGTTTAAAAAAAATAAAAATAAAATTGTACAGTTTTTCATGGTAAATGTTGACACATGCATGCTGCCAGCCAATTCGCCCAGCTGTATAAATTCACCATTTTTAATAGCTGAATGCAACTCAGGCTTATGACTCAGTAGAATTAGGCCATGATGAGAGACCAAACCAATCAAATATTGTATAAGTGTCTTTATTTCTCGATGCCGACATGACTGACCTGGACAAATTCCGAGAGTTCTGTCCAGGTACGCCCCATGTTAGACGAGACGTACACCACATTGGGTACTTTGCCGATCTTCTGTCCCAGGTCAGTGTAGAATACACAGTTCTGAAAAAATCACAACGATTCATAGATAGTTAGATATCAAAAACAATTTTACCAGAAAAGTCATATTATACAGTATAAACAAAATCTCTGTGTGAACTGCACCCTTTATAAACCGACATAATGTTCTAGCCATATCCAGTTTTGACAGGTTACATTATGAATATACCTCCATATATATATATCATAATACAAACAGATCCCCTAAAATCTAAACAATTAAATTCCCTATCATACGACCGTCTTATAAAATATATCCTCAAATTGCATAGAAAGTATCGATGAAATACTTATTCTACAAAATCTCAAAATCTTTAAGCAACAAGATTGTATTTACCCGGTTTCCCTTCATCAGCCAGACTTCTGTGATATACTTCTGGTTGTCCGAGATGGAGATGTCTTCACAGACACACAACACACTCAACAGGTCAAGGTACCGGTAGTTCTGGTAATAACACAATTATATCATTACGGTTTAAAGTAAAAACAAAACTAGAACTGTCATCAGGAGGATAACTAATACCCCCCGCAAATGCTGGTAGTTTATACATCATTTATTGACCTTGACCTTGGGGTCAACTTACTGAAATGGGAACTCGTTCCAGATATTTTGGCTCTTTACATATAGGCCAAGTTTCATCAAAATAGTATAAAATTAGTCAGTAGAGAAATTTTTCCGGACAAATTATTTGGTATAAAGGACCATAACTCCCTTAAAAGTGTTGAAATCTGAAATTAAAATGCCAGTGCACAACGGCATAATATACTGATCATTCAAGTGATAAGTTTCAATAAAATCTGCCTGTTACTTAAGATGGAGTTTTCTGGACAATTTACTGCAGATGACAGACATCCTGCAGACAGACAGGGTGATTCCAGTACAAAACATTTGGTTTAAAAAAAAAAACTTTGAAAAACTCTTAAAGAGAGGAATTCTTTAATGATGTCATCATGTAAAAATAGCTCTAATTTGTTTTTACGTCATATTGAAATACCAAACGTCAAATCTAATCGCTGCAAAGGAGATCATTTGTCTTTCAAGAGGAAATAATTATGATTCAAATTATTCGATCTTGACTCGTATAAATTCATTTATTCCTTTTTGGTAAATCATACATTCTGGTATAATCCTCTATCACAGAGATGTTATGGTAATGAAAAGTTTGTTTGAGGTGTCGAGGTACCTTGTCTCTCTGTAGGAGGTCGATGAAAGTGTCAATGTGTTTGTGGGTAATCCTGTCCACTATCTTCCTGTTGTCCTTGATGAGCTCCATCACCATGTGGGCTGCGTTCAGGCCAATCTGACCCTGCAGGGTCAAACAGTTATTTTTAAATTTCAATTGTAACATATAAGTGGGTCAACAATTGTTTTGAAATTTTATAACATATTAGTACCACATGGATTTTCTAAACCCATCTTAATATGATTAAAAAAACATTTTGACATTCTGAAGAACATTTAGTTTTCCCCCACAAATTGATAACATGAAGAAAATCAAAAATATTAAGCCATTATTTTCAAAAAACATATGAGAATAGTATTGTTATTCTTCAAAAGAAGAAAATGAAACAGTAAACATCTTAGAAAGCATATATATGTATGTTTTTACCAATATGTAACATATGTACCTCTTTAATCTCAAACTGTGTGAGGAAGAAGTCGATGTGCTTAGCGATGTAGAGCTCGTTCTTCCTGCTGTCGCCCATCAGGTACGTGTACAGGACGTCGTACGCCTCCACGTATATCCTCACCAAGTGGCTGGAGAAACACCAGCAGTTATACATTACAATAAACTGAAAATATGATCTGTTTCTCCCATCCTTCCTATCATCAATCATCAAAAGGGAAACTAAAGCTCTCTATATCACAATATTTATGACCTACATGTACAATGAAAATACCTTAATCAATCACAAATACCTCTTTTTCAAACTGAAAAAGTGCATCAAGTTTTAGTGAATCTATGTATAGTCAAAAGGTAAAAACAATCCAGTCTGAGATCCAGAACAAAAGAGCAATATTCCATTTTTTGCAGCAATGAAATTGAGCATTTATCTTTGATAAATAAATATATAGGTAATGTTATCCAGTATACTAAAACTTACTGTTGGTCATCACAACCTCTGAACGGGATCTGGAGGAGCTGAACCAGCACTTCCACAATCTACAAACCAATCATAGCAATTTTGTTCCTGTAGTACTATTCAGAAAAGAACTTCATTTTAGGAGGGTGAGGGTGACAGAGTTCTACATCATACCGTAGTCATTGATTCTATCATTATTTAACAACATTATCAAGAAACTCCCATCAACAAAGACCAATCACAAATACACTGAGTTAATTCCAAACACCATAATGCCATGGAAAACTATGTACTGTATAGCGCTTTAAATTCGCGGGGTCAGTATTTCGCCGTTTTGTATTTAGTACATATTCGCGGGGGTTAAATTTTGCTGTGTACCCGAATCTCATGTGTTCTGCAAAGTATTTTGAGTGTCATCCTACAGGGTTAAACCTCGAAATACAGGTAAACGGCCGTTTGAAGACACTTATATTAGTGTTGTCATCCTCCAGTGATTTCACTCGAAAGAAAATCAAATGTGTATGTAACTTTGTGGGAGTAAACTGTAATCAATTAATCACCTACTGTGTACACATATACATGTATATGCTGTGGCCACTTATAGGTACATTGTAAGTGTCGTTTTTACATGGACTGCCCAGTTGTCTGATGATAATCTGATTTGAGTTCATGTAAGGTTGCATAACAGCATATGGTTTTAAGTATTTTCAACATGTTGTGATAAGGTCCGTAAAAGAAGTTAACATTTTCGATAATTTCGCTGATGTAAAGGATTCGCGGATATTTGTCAAAGCACGAATATAGCGAAATTAAAACCCCAAACATTGCAAAATTGAAACCCCCGCGAAATATAACCGCTACACAGTATATGGTCGTCTCTAGACGTGACATCCTTGGCTCCAAGACCTTTATTCCCTTCTCTATAATTTCCTTGTTATTCTACCGAATTCTTAGGAACATCTTAATGGAATCCCTGAGCCAGTGCAGAACTTCTTAAATTTTCTCACCTTTTTTTATTTATTTTTTATGGTCACTTTCGATAAAAGATCTATCACATGATATTAAAAGGGGTTAACTTTTGTATACATGCTGAATATAGTCAAAGGAATCTGTCTAGGAAAGAATTGCTCCTAATCAAGGGAATTACAACTTGTTGATCAACTGTGCCATTCGTATGGAACACTCACCTGTAAATTACGAAGCAGTTTCTGCCTCTGTTTGGTCGTTTCACCAAGCTCAAACATGTAAGCTCGCATTTCTTGTAGTGCCTGTAAAGAATCAGAATGAATTTAATGGAACATATATATAGTAATTACACTCACCACAATTTATTTTTTAGAAATTTCACAACAATTTTTGATTTTAGAAATATTCTATGAAAAAAACGATTTTTTTTAGTCTTAGACAATACTGCTAAGAAAACAACAGACCAGAATTGTTCATGTTCTAACAGAAACGGTTTTAACTGCCTATCCACAAATCTCACAATCTCTCAAAGATCTGTTGCTATTTTAAAAGATGAGGTTCTCCCAATATTTATCATATTTAGACACTTCCTTAAACCGAAGGTGAAGATGTGACGTAGCTCTGTTGACAAGACGACTTGTTATACAAACAATACTTACAGCAATGGTATCATGAGCCCTCTTAGCTGTCAGGACATCTCCTTTCTTTTTCTACAATAAATCAGAGACGACTGTTTATCAAATATCATTTCCTTGATCAGTAGAGTTAAACCTGCTAATGTGACCACCTCCATTAACAGACCAGTTTTTGGACTCCTGAAGGGTGGTCTATAAATACAGGTAGGTTTGTCTGTATACTAGAATTCTGACCTAAAGCAAACAATGAAATACATTAAATAATTTACTACATAAGTTTTAACTAAAAATTGTATTGTACATTATTGTGAGTACAAAATATATCAGAATTAAACTATAATTCACAACAATTACAACAGGTATAAAGGTCAAGGAGGCCTGATATCACCTTATTATGATTACAATATTGTACACAATATCACGCTCCCTTTCCTTTATACCCATTTGATAACACAGCAGGCCAATGGCATACAAACTGGACAAACTAGCGCCTAGAAACATGTTATGGCCAGATGATGTTAGGGTATGGCTTACGTCTTTGACGAGCTTTTGTAGGAAGGGGACCATGCCTGACATGCCGTTGAATATTTCCAGGAGTTCTGGCTCAACCACTTGTAGGGTGAAAGCGTCATCGTACTGCTTCTCCTCGATCACACCAACCTACGACAGAACAAGTTAATCTCCAAGTCTCCAACAGTGTATGATGATCTTCTAACAGGGGAAATGAGGGTACTCATCTCGGCATTCCTATTCAAAACTTTGTGACTCGGTGACAAGTCACTAACATTTCTGTAAATATGAACTGTGAAAACTTGCATTTACTTGCCATGGTAACACGACATTAAACAATTGAACTTTCAATGATTTTGAAGTATTCATACAAAGTTTTGTTTTGTTTTTGGTGGATTTCTACTTCAGGCAAACTATCCATTAAATCACAATGCCCCAACTGGACCCCACCCCTTTGTATTCAGGAGGGCATGCACAGTACCCTTCATTTTACAACAATTAATTGCATTACTTGTCGTTTGTGAAAGGTAAGCTAATATAAATAGCTATAGAAAACATGGACGTTTCAGTTTTACATATTCAGTTATAAGAAAATAAAGAACACCAGCTAAAATGTTTGTTGCTTTAAGTGGAAAGGAAGAAAACCTTTTTGAGCACAGCTGTGCTCCACTTGTGGGCTGTCATTGAGGCGTTGTCAGAAGAATCCGACTGCTGGCGACTCTTGTATAGTTCTACAACAAACCATAACAACATTTATGCTTTTTATATGACATCTTCTTAAGTAAACATTTACATTCCACAGGAAAATTGTAATTTTTCACAACTCTGGTTTCAATGTTTATTTTTCAAAAGCAAGAACAAGAATTACCTTCTAAAACTTGAAATAAAAAATATAATCATGCAGTCAAAATTTCACCAACTATTTACCTGTTATCCACACATACAGAACTCTGGGAACTATTTACCTGTAAGCCACACATTCAGAACTATGGGAACTATTTACCTGTAAGCCACACATACAGAACTATGGGAACCTTTCTGACTATTTACCTGTAAGCCACACATACAGAACTCTGGGAACTATTTACCTGT